AGGCATGTGTTAACCCCAGGAGAATTTGTTCAATTATTACGATTATGATTTTTTGATGTGGTTGTGTTCCCTAAGCTCGATGGTTTATCTACGAAGCTTTCATTGCCCTACTAGGAAACGTCTTCAATTCATACTTCAATCTGAAGTGAGCTTTTAGATTTCTCTACTAGTTTATAAGTCATTTCAACAGCTGACGTTGAACGTAATTGGGTGTTTTTGTGTGTTCTGACACTCTCTAGGCTACTTGTATTGGTACTGATTGTTTCCCTGACCTGAAATTCAACCCTCTGTGTATAAGATTTACTTCTTATCGATTGGTTAATTTTGTCTATGTCTATAAGTCTATTAATTGATGGTTCACTAGAATACCAGGCTTCTAAAAATTCTCTATATTTTTGGTGTTTCCTTTCTCTAATATCTGAACGCTATCCCAGTCCGTGGCTGTCTGTATACAATAACATGAAGGAGTGGATGTCATGTCTTTTGACGGCTAGTTTATGATCACGCATGAGAAGATGAAAGCTATGTCCTTGTTTGATCAATGTAGCGTTTTTTGCAGTCGTTGCAACCTATCTTTTAGACGATATTGGCTTTATCTTCTTCCGCTATTGAGTCTTTTGGTTGACACAGGGCTGGCTGAGTGAAATTATTTTGTTTGTTTATGTGCAACATCAATTCCTAAAGGTTTGAAGAGTCTTGCAGGGATTTCTGAGACATCCTTTATATATGGTAGGGCGATTTTCTTTGTGTTTTCCTTGGGAAGAATTCGAAAAGCTCACTTCAAATTAAAGTATGCGCTGAATAATAATAATAGTTTGCTTTATTCCTGAACAGTACTTGTGATACAGAATGGAATTCTCAGCATTTTACTACAGTATTGCATCCAATTAGTACATTATCAATGAATAAAATTCTACATAGATTAAGGAAATTTCAATTCATTATGACAACAACATATTGGCATGTCGTTAGGAAAGCCTAAATTGAACAGTGTTTGAAGGTGCTAGAAAAGTAGATACTAGCACATTTACTGGCGTAAGCAGAAGAAAGAAATAAAGCTGCACATAACAAAAAAAGGGAGAGAGAAAAGGAAATGAAAGAAAGAAAAAGTTGTACCTATAAATGATATGAACTGGGAAGACGAGATCCATTTGTTGCCTAGTAGGGCAATGAAAGCTTCGCAAATAAACCATCCAGCTCAGAAGACACGACTACATCATAAATATATAAATATATGTATATATATATAACTTTAGATCCTGAAGAAGTTATCGAAAAGTGTATTCTATATTCAGTACTCTTTGTTTTGATAGGAACACCTTCAATGTTTGGTGCTAAGGATTTTTCAAAATTAAGTCACAATTTCATGTCGGTTATAATAAGGGTATTTAGCAATTATTGCCTTGTTTCTTACTATTAGACTTTTTTTTACTCAACTTACTGTATTCTAATTATGGTTAGTAGACTGTAATTGTATAAAAATTTTTTCAAGCTCACACTTCATTTAAATGAACAGCCTCTTACAATGAGTTAAATACCTGCTTCAATTTACTCAGTAAACTTTAGCAAACATTTCTAGGCATTTGTAAGTATTCCAAATTTAGAAATAAAAAAAGTGTCTTGATTAGCTTCCTCGTCATCTTCAATTGACAATTTTATAGATCAGTGGCCGTAACAGATGAGTCGGATGGTTAGTTGATGACGGTCAAGGGATTAATTTACTTAGAATAAGCTTAAGTCAGCTTGATAAACGAAAACGCCTTCCACTGCATATGTAGTCACTGAAAAATCCTATCGGGATACATCGAAAATAAAAACAAATGATTCAGCAAGCGATAAAACAGCTTGCGTAATATATATAAAACAGTTCATGGGATGTATAAATCTTAGGAAACAATGTAGAATTAATAAGATAAGTAGGTTCATAAATAAAATGAGAAGTTTGATAGGATAACATTGCAAAATTTAAACTGAATTAAATTATTAAAGCGTGACAAGTGAGATAGTACTGGAAATTATTCGAAGTGAAAATAATAAATAATACAGACAGAACTAATAATGGCGGAATACGCAGATTAATTTCAACAAAACGAAAAGCAAGGCCAGGAGATAAGTGAGCAATGTAATATTCTAATATAGACTGCAAAAAAAAATAGAGGTTGAATAAACGTCTTCTGTATACAGAACTTTGGCTTCTGCGTATCGATGGCTAATGCATCAGCGATATATATATGCTAAGTATTTGCATTTATATACTTGTATACTTCAGTTATACTTCGTTTCTTAAAAGTGATACATAGTAATCATATAGAGAGAATGTATTAAGTATTGAAATTACACTAACCACTTTCAAAGGTGATCAAATAATATTGGAAGATAGTAAGATAAGTAACATATCACTTGACGGTTCATTTCGGCAAATTTTATACTCTGTGTTTAGATCAGTTTTACTCTACCGGTATCTGAGATATGTATAGTTTTCTGCAATTCCATATCTCAAAATATGACTTTCGAAATTTACTAGTACCGCTGTTGCTAGATATGCTATAATGTTGTAATTATTTGTAATAGTAGTATCAGTATTTCGCAATGACCGAATTACAAGAATTCAACCAAAACGCAGAGAGGGATGAATTTAGGAATTTGTATTTGGCGGAATTATTATTCAATTCATATAAGAAATATATTAACAAGCAACAGTAAGTATTTAAACAATACAGAGATAGAAATCGTCAATTACCACATCCGCCACACGTCGAATGTCTCCTTGCGTATTTATAATGATATCGCGCTTTGCTTGCCAGTCCCTGCGATCTTCTAACTGATTCTGTGATATTATTTTCGTCAGCATTATCTGGACTTATTTCTGAATTATCTACAAAATCAGGATTAGTAGCGGAATCATTAAAATTATAATCAGAACGACCTACTTCTTTTATTGTCACTTTGTCCAGGTGTCTGTTATGAACTGAGTGACCTTTGATGTCTAATATCTTCAACATTTGATTTCCCGTTTTTTGTAGTATGATTCCAGCAGAAGGTCTATGGTCATTCCCTCTGTAATAATGTACATTAGAAGTCGTGGACATCAGATGCTTTTTGAGAATTCGAGATTTGAAAAGTTTTGCAGGACTTTCATGGGTACTTGTATGTTCTGCATTCAACAGACGCAATCTACGCATATGCAGAAATTCCTCCATTTTAATCAGTTGCTGTCTCGTCTCAGTCAGCTGTTGACGAATGGACAACCAGCCAGCTTCCATTTCACTCACTTCTTTCCGAAACACTCCACACTGATGTTCTAAATCCGTTTGCACACCTGAAGCTGACTCAATAGAACATTCAAGTTCACGGATCATTTCACTACTTCGCTTATTCTCAGGTTCCAGCTCAATGATTTGGGTCACCAGTGTGCAGATTTCTTTCTCCTTCATTAAACAGGAATTCTCAGCAGCTGAAAGCTTAAGTGTCAAATTTTTATTCTTCGCCTGTAAACGACCAACCAACTCATTGCTAATTTCAAGCTCTCTTCAACCTGTAACATATATTTTCGTGTTTTAGACAGATCGGATTGTAACTCGGCTACCTCATTTTTGAAAACACGTGATACAGTTGACGCTTGAGTTGCTGAACTTGTAGTAGAGGTTTCATTGGATGAGATTGAGTATTTTGAACAGTTGAAAGAGACATCGACTGCATTTTACCAGATAAATTGGAAGAATTATCAGGATTCTGAGTAACATAAGTATTCGAACTTCTGCAAACAGTCTTGATGTGTCCAACTTTACCACATTTGTGACACTTAGCACCCCGAAAACGGCAAGTGCTTCGTAGATGTAACTTTCCACAGGAAAAACACGGTTTAATGTTTTTGATCTCTCGCTGCATTCTATTACATGCAGACGGCAGTTTGGATTTCTTTCCATGACCACTTGTATTTTCGACTTTGGACAGCATGACATCAGATACTGACGTGGTGGGAGCAGAGTATTCATTATTGACATCTTCATATGTAATACATAAATCTTTAGCAGTTTGAAAGGTACAAGAAGGAATCTGAATTAACTCTTTCTCTAACTTAGGAATATTGATTCCAGCAATTAGACGATCACGTAGTTGAGTATGCAGCTGATCTCCAAAGTTACACTTTGAAGCTTGTATTTGGAGTTGAAGAATGAAGTCTCTAATCTTCTGGTTAGAAGCACGAAGCAGTTTGTTGAACTGAGCCCTCTCTCGTGTTTCAAAAGTGGTTATTTGGAAGTGATCTATTAAAAGTTCACGTAGTTTATAATATGGCAGAGAAATTGGTTTATCTGGAAATGACAGAGTCTTCACTAGGCTATACGCATCTAGCCCAATAGCAGTAATGAAATGAGCTGAAATTTTGTCATCCCGAACATTCTTTGACATGCACCATGCGTCGAAGCATTCAAGATAATCAGAGATTTCCCGCAGTGAACCATTTATAGGAAACTTTCCAAGGTTATTTATTTCCATAGCGACGCCAAATTGTTGTAACTATTTGTAATAGTAGTATCAGTATTTCGCAATGACCGAATTACAAGAATTCAACCAAAACGCAGAGAGGGATGAATTTAGGAATTTGTATTTGGCGGAATTATTATTCAATTCATATAAGAAATATATTAACAAGCAACAGTAAGTATTTAAACAATACAGAGATAGAAATCGTCAATCACCACATATAATTGATCACTGTACACCATAAGTAAATTAACCGAATGAAAACAGAAGCTTTATGCTTTTCCCATGATGAACAGTTGACGTGTTCTTTTTTTCCTTTAAAATATGGGTCATGAAAAATGTTATAACTGGTTGATATGCCCCTTCACTTAGGACTCTACTTATGTCATATGAATGAATGTGTTTTGTCAAACAGATTTCTCAGTGACTCAGTTTAAAAATATGTCAAGTTAATAATAAATAATTATTCAGGTAATAGACTATACTTATTTATGTGAAGTTTTTGTTTTTTCTAGGAGATGCGATATGATGTCTAGTGATGCATCACCTGTATGCAAAGGAACTCCAGAAATTGTATTTGCCTGGGCGATGGGGGCTCCATCATTTAAAATGCCAGAAGGTAAATAACATATTTCCTTGAAAATAACTAATCTTGGAATGGTATACTGACTGATTTTGAACGTCACTGACTATCTTCACTTCAGTCCCCTATCGATCTTATTATCATCATGAGACGAAATGTCACATTTTTGTATAGTATATAGTATAGTCTCTAGTTTAGATAAAAGAGCTAAATACGTTCGCTGTGCCTTCCTTGATTACACATCTGCATTTGACACTGTACCCAGGTCTCTCTTGCTAAGTAAGCTTGCTGCAACACAGGCTGAGAGCTGGACAAATAAGTGGTTGCATTCCTATTTTTCTGATAGCAAGCAGTACATCGTCTACAATGGAAAGTCCTCCACTACCTCACTTACTTTAGCTGGTGTTCCTTAAGGTGCTGTTCTTTCTCCTTTTCTGTTTCCTTTTTCTTACATGACTTGCCTCATTCTGATGTAGCCACTTTTGTTAAGTATGCCGGTGACCTCTCTGTTTCGATGCCTGTCAACTCTCAGTCAGATTGCTCCAAATTAAATAACTTTCTGTCGGGTATTAGTCAGTGGTCCTCTTCAAACGATCTTAAGCTAAACCCGTCTAAATGTAAGGTAGTCAAATTCACTTTCAGACCTAAACGTGACCTACAACAAATAGTTAGCTGACATAGCCCCACTATCATTGACGGCATAGAGGTTGAGAATACATCTAGTGTCAAGTATCTTGGTCTGAGTTTTTCCACCGATCTTTACTGGTCCTCCCACATCTTGCTAGTTACTAGAAAGATGTTTCGCTTAACGTTCTACGCTAGGAAATTTAGGTAGTCCGGTATAAAGCAGTATTTGCTTTCTCAGTTTGTCAGTTCTTGTATTCTACCCATCCCCCTTTACTGCTCCCCATTAATCTTTCCTGGACTACTTAAGAAAGACTTTGCTTTGCTAAGAAGGGCACTAAAAGCCGTTAGTAGGGCAAGTGGGATATCGTTAAACCAACTGGTTAACACTATTGTGGATAGACATATAATGTCGTGTAAGAAACTAGCGAATACAATATCGTCAGACCCCGAACATCCTCTCTATACGCAACTCTCTCCTTGCTTTTCATCTGGTAGAACTAGAAGCAGCTATGGGAGGCTATGTGCTGGGACTACCAAATACAAAACTCCATAATACCATATCTGGCACAGCTGTTATGTGATGAGAAATCCATTAGGTATGACACGATCAACTTACTGAGGAACTCTAACAAATAGTCCCATTAGTTTTCGTTTTCCTTTCCTCGTCACTATTACACTTGTTCTCATCTTCTATCACACACCAATTTCATATTTCATATCCTGTGGTATATTGTTTAAAATGTAAACGCAACGCTGTTGTTTTTTATTTATCTTTTTTTGCGTTGTTTTTTGATTTCAAATCTTATAAGTTTATGAGGTAATTAGATGCAGTATATTGTAATGCACGCTGAAAATTTCATGCCTGTATTACGAATACTGTTTGGAATAAAGCTATTATTATTATTATTTAGAAGTCCAGTTATTACGCAAATAGTGGTTTGCACACATATTTAACTCAAGCAAAAGTCAGTCAAGGTGAAAGTAGGTGGTTTGTGGAACACTGTGTAACACATGATTTCAGAGTGTAATTATATCGTACCGATAGGTCACAATAGGCAAGAAATCTCAGTGTTCATTCTCTATGTAATAAGAAACACGTTTCTTCGACAACTAAATATTATTTCTACTTGCTATTAAATTGCTTCAAATAAGTTCCAAAACTGAATGTAAATTCCTTTCTCTAATTTTTTTTCAATGCGTTTCAATGCATACCACTTCTTTTTTTATCTTTCCCTCCAAACACTAAGTATCCCTTGATTACAATTTATATCAAAACTATTTCTTAACAGCCTGGTGGTTATTTCTTCAGATTTATTTTTCTGTTGCTTTATTATAAATGACTTCGGATATTCGCATTATTGGAAGCCTAATTTCATAATGTGTAGAAGATGCTTAACTTTACCAGTTTAATCTTTGCCCTGTTGTAAGTAACATGACAGTAGCATGCTAAGAAACTGGTAAAACAGATTTTGTAATATATTACAAATTTAGCTTTCTTTAAAGTAAAAAGAACGAAGTAGATTCTGTTCTTTTTGTTTTGACTTTAAATGATCAAGATAACACATTATGTGAAATTTAACCTCCTTTATTCTGTTTTAGATGTATATATATATAGTCAGATATGTAAATTTCTATAGTTTTGGTTTGTAAGGATTAATTGTGTTTTTACGAGTTGATCACAGATTGATATAAGTTAGAGAATCATTGTAAACCACGAAGTACTGGACAGCCAGCTGTTTCATCCTAGTTTGGGAATCATCGGCAGCACGCACCCATTGGGATTTGAACCCAGGACCTTCCGGTTGCAAGGCAAGCCCGTATACTATTCAGCTTGCTTTGTTACCGGAAGGTTCTTGGTTCGAATCGCAATGGGTGCGTGCTGCCAATGACTCCCAAACTAAGATGAAACAGTTGTCCAGTACTCCCTGGTTTACAATGGTTCTCTAACTTATATCAATCTGTGATCAACTCGTAAAAATATGTAATATCCGATTGTTTGTTCGTAAGTATAAAGATAAGAAAAATTTTTCAGCACATCTGTTAGTTTACTCTTTCTTTTTTTTGTCCTCATCAAGGTGTGTCGCATAAAGTTGGCTTGGGAACTCCATCCAAATACTTAGTCTTACAAATTCACTATAAAAATGCTGCTTCATTTGAATCAGATGGTAAGTGATTAAGTGTGTGCAAAAGCCATAATAAAATCAATAAAATACTCGCCTTTTGTAGAGAATAAAGTAGATACGAGTGGAATAAAACTTACCGTACAAGCTACACCGTAAGTCTTCTTGACGTTTACAAGTCTGAGTACTATACTGAGTAATTTTTTTATAGAAATGTAACTGCGTGCTTCTAACTTATTTATTATCAGTCATACAACCTTATTTCAGTGATATGTTGTAATAAATAGCTATTTAACTTTAAAAGGGTTACATTACATTATTAAAATTTAATTTGAAATGACATCCAAAGTATTTATCCATCTCTGGACATGTGAGTATCAAGGGAAACGATAAGAGTAATCAATGCACTGAACACTCAAGAAAATGTGCACTACAAAAGTACTCACAACCTAACATTTATTCCATACATATGGACAAATTTAACTGGGACTGATTAAGATTTAGTGGCCGGATCACATATTTAGAAAGTGTGCAGCTTTATATTCGAGTTAGGATTGAAAATAATATAAACACGTAAAGTTGTAGATACGTTGCCTCTATCATCAGTGTGTAGCCAATACAGAAAATTTTGTCTGGAAAAACAAAGTTAGTCTACAACGAAATTAGCCAACTCAGGGAACGCAACAACACTAAATATACCCATATGAGAAGCAAATCTTCCTTATTAATTCTGCGTATTATTACAAGTAGACATCGCCTTTGTCTACTCATACTACGTATTACTAATTGATTGCTACGGGTAGTGGGATATTACTCCCATCAGCTAGTAGCGCTCGCTAAACAAATTACAATGTTCTACACAGAGGGCATCCGTTTCATTGGTTTGTGGCTGAACTCTTCAGCAGTGTATCGTGTTTGATTCAACACAGACAAGTGAGTCAGTTCAAACCACCCGATTGATAATCTGTAATGGAAAATAGTCCAAAATGATTTCTGTCAAATCAAGGAGACATTTCACAGTATGCTATCTTATTTATCAAGTGAGCAAAAATATGAAAAATTAACGGCCGTAATTCTTCCCTGCATAGCTCAGAGAAATCGTTAAGCATATTCATCCGCGGCGTTTCCGTCTACTCCACTGAGAACGACTTTGAGCCGGAGCATAAATATTCTTCAGCCATTCTCACTTGACACCTCAAAAAATTTAGTCAGGCAGTGTAAACCTCCCTATTTGGCTCAAACTAACAATCAAAGACCTCATGGGCTGATACCAAGTTTTTATTCGACCATTATTAACTCCTGTCCAGCCTAAAATTGCTCGACAAGAAAAGCAATGACTCAATTCACTTGTGAATACTTGGAGAATTCATGGCCTTCGGCCAAATTCCATGCTTAAAATTCATATATGTAGATATGGTATGTTCTTCGGTGTGAATTAAGTCGAAATTCTTATCCGTTCAGTTCAGTCTGTGTGCACTGGTATGAATTGCATTTCATATCTACCCAACATCTACACTGTTCCAGAAGTCAGAAGGGAAATCTTTCTATTCAGTCTTACACACTGATGTGATTTAACCTAGACGGTTTTCTGTTAATCGAGATCTTCTTTTTTCATTTGAGTTAACTAGAGATATTAAGTTACCGAAGTTCCATGTAAATGTTCTAAATTCATCTTGTTTATGATTATTACACTTGTTAATGTCTACAGGACCAATAAATTGTCTGGGATGTATATACTAATTAGCGGTGGTAAAGTTCTACCTAAACAGACAAGTGAGTGATACATTCTAATTTTCCTATTGATTAGTTATACTGGTGTATCACAATTAATTCGACAATAATTTTTTTCTGAATATTTCATATTAAGATAAGCGGGATTTACATTGAGTCAAGTGTAACCGCTTCAACATCTTCCAGATTACAAAGACTAATAAATAGCTGGATGATTTACATGTTTTATTTCATGATTGTTCTTCATTGAGCTTATTGATAAAAGACTGGCACGAAGTCAATAGGTTAACATGATCTGCGCAATAGATCAGCGGCTGATAAACTGTGAATTATTTTCTACCCCTACCCTCTATTAAATCTCTACGCTCATTACGACTGTTGCTAACTCGATTTTCGTTTATTTTTAAGTGAATTCTACTCAGCTTATTAACTTAACTCTCATTCATTTTTTCATTGAACCCTATCAATTAGATTACGTCACCCAACCTACTATTGTAACTTTACTTTAGTTTCTAACCGATTAACGCCTTCAAAATTACGTAATTTGTTTGACAAAAACTAACAGTTGCATTAACACATCTTTGGAAATATTCCTTTTGTTGCCAAGACAAATTACTATAATTTTGCGATTTGTACAGCTTGAGAATGATATCGCCGAAAAGAGTAACTCTTTGCTGAACACCTTTTCTTTTCAATTAGAACTTTGCTGTTATGCTAAACATTGGTGTAAGCATAAATGTTTAGAGAGTTCAAGTAACTTGAATGTACATGCCAGTGTAGGTGTATGTAACTCAGTTCTTGAAGTCCGTGTACATGTGATCGAATTCGTCAATGTTAACTTAGGAATTTCCTAAGTACAGATCTCTCAGTAAATTTATATATTAATAGAAGTTCCTATTTACTATGCTTATAAATTTAGATTCATAACTAGAAAACACATTTGGTAAACTTTGAGGGCTTAGAAAGCAATCGATTTATGCAATACATGTAACAAATTAGTATATATGAATAAATTCACATTTATTTTCTATAGTTTGGTTTGTAAGGGTTAGTTTTGTTTTTACGAGTTGATCACGGATTGATATCAGTTAGAGAACTATAGAGAACTATTGAAAACCAGGGAGTACTGGACAGCTATTTCATCCAGTACTCCCTGGTTTTCAATAGTTCTCTAACTGATATCAATCTGTGATCACATTCACTTGTTTTTAGGTTGATGTTGCATGTTTTGTTGATTGATTATACTGGACCGAAATTTCGATCTTTATTGACATATCGATTTCTAGTGCGAACACCTAAGCTCTCGTAGCCCTGCGGATAATGCTTCGTTGCTTGAAACCGTAGGTACAGGGTTAAACTTTCAGGGAGAACACAACAATACTTCAGTGAGGATTTAGGTACATTTGGCTGTCCCAAATAGGATGAAATGGGGTTCCTGGATTCCACTGCTTGTCAATACCAACAAAAATAACTTCACATTTAATTTAAAATAAGCTCTTTCAAACGAAGAATTTGCCCGCTGGCTTTAATAATAAGCACTATTGAACAACACTGAGTGTCTGTGTATCTCTTTCAATACAAAGGAGGTAAAATGTCAAGACGTATTCAATGCTAATATAAGCCAAGTTGGACAATGCAGTGTTATAAATTAAAGAATTCTTTAGTTGTTTGAACTAATCAAATGACTGTTATCTAAACAGCAATAAGTTCAAATTTCATCAAAATAATTGAAGGAACAAAACAATTCCAACAGTGGTGTGAACACGGGCAGTAATTTTGCTCGAAATATTACCAATAACAAAACTTATCATTATGTGTAAGCTATTAAAATATAATTATACTTTATTTGAAAATTGAAGCCCTTTAGTCTTTGATTAACAGATACCTAGGAATTAATACATTTCACCTGTCAGTAAATTCATCCATTATTTCAAAACCATCATATTCTCTTTCTTTTTCTAATCAGCTAAACTTGAAATGAGTTGTATGTATACAGGCCAAGTTACACTTCACCCATTCGCCTACCGTGTTCATGCACACAGCCATGGTGAGTAAATGATTAGTTTATGAAGTCATTTATTTTATTTTATTGAACAAAGCAAGAATAAAACCGTGTCAGGATAGTACTAGCTTATGTTTTACTATTCCGAGGATTCGTCTCAATGGACTACAACCCGAAAAATACGTTATTTTTTATTCACTTAGTCATTTACAATTAAATCAATTCGAAGCAACAGCTTTATGTGAACTTCACATAACCTGGAGTAAATAGCCACACTGTTCTTTCCATCCATAATCCCTACTTTCATGAGATTTATTCTTTAGAAGCTCAATTTTTAAAAACAGAGATGCTTCTATGCCATTGGAAAATTACGTTGTAAACTTTCCATTGCAAACTGTATATTGGCAGATATCACCGTTTTATTAAGAAATTCAGCTGCCAACAGGCCAGTTTTAAAGTTACCGACGAAATCATTGAGAACATTAGTTTAAAGCTTCATTAACATACTGTCAAAATAATTGAAAAATATCCATTTTAAGTTTTCCATAAACTGATGAGTTATGCAAGGATCTCTTTAGACCTAAATTATGTTGACACGCAGAAATAGATACTAACTACTTGCATGTTGTCCCCAAGGTACTGAAAAATTCCAACACAAGACCAGAAAAGCAAGGCAGTTTGCTCTAGAAAAAAGACACTTTCTGATAATATAACTATGTATACAATTGTCTCACAGTATTATCAACTGCAAGTTAGTTTTATGGAGATTTGTTAACAGTACACTAATAAAATTGGTTTGAAACTTACGAAAAGGATATTGAGAAATGATGAGCTTCTCAGTCCGTTTCAGAGCCCCTTTGCTCAATTTTTTTCTTGCCAGTTAGTGTTTCCACTCGGAGGATACTGCAGTTTGCAGCTTTTAGCGTTTCCATTTTTAAGGAATTTTATGAGTGCTGTTTACCTACTAATATATTATGAAGTAGTAAATAATCATCATAGAAAAATATTTAGCTCTGGTATGGCATGTGATTTTCTCAGTTTGCCAAGTAGTTTAGAATGTAACGATCCTTATTTTATACATTAGGTGATATTAAAATCGGCTTTCCTGCGCTGAAAGATATTAGCTTTCAGGTATAGAGCTTTTATATTTGAAGATGCTTAGCGCCTTGGTAAATCCTCCAGTCATAATTTTATCCTTTTGTTTTTGGATCTTATGGAGTTTCTCCAAATACATAATCTCACCTACTGATTTTTCCAAAGTTTGATTCTTCTCAATCGACATTGATAAGGAGATGCCTTTGATTCGGCAGCGTTGTCAGTAGATTTTCTACTGGTATTTCTTATCTACTGTAGAAATTGTTTCTGAAAATTTTCATGGATCTGTTACCATTATAATTCTCCCATATTATTGAAATAACACTTAGTCAATGCATCTTTCTGAAGAATACGCCTAACAATCTATTCATTGCATTTAACATTGGAGGTAAGCTTGATAAAACTACCGAAGTACAATATATTTTCTACTATTTAAACCGGGTTGAAGAAAATCAATCACATTATTTTTTGAAGTCCGTTTTTCAGCTGTCCTAACAGTTGCATTTATTTTTGGTCATTTTTTGATGTGATGCTGTGGCTGAAAATCGCTGATTCTGTTGTTGTTGTTGTTGTTTATACACTTTCTTTTCAACTAGGCGTTCTGAATGAAGGATTTGTTCTTGATGGCGAAAATAAATATTTGATTGGATCCAAATCACCACAAGTTCATCAGGTGAGCAATGAAACAATTGTATTCCATCCATATTTCATTTAAAGACTGAAAAAAACGTCATTATATTCGGGGATAAAATAATGACTACAAATGGTGAATACTATCTCTGACGATAAAACAGGTATATAGTCCAGCTCACTATCCTGACTATTAGAACTCTTTACATCTGATTGCCATCGCGAAATTGTTCCTCATACTGAATGACATAAATAATATGTTGGGCTTAATTTACAGAACATTTTTACGAAATAAGTTAACTGAAGAGAGATTTAAGTAATAATTCAAGTAATTCATATCACTGTCACAACATCATTTCGGCTGGGAAACTTCGGAAAACAAGGAGTGTTCCATATTCATCTACAAGTATGAAAAAATTTCCATGTGATGTAAACTAAAAAGACACAGGTTAGCAAACAGTTTATTATTTTCGCAGCTTCACTTGAAAGCTGTACACAGATACAGCATTCTGGAACGTCACAGAAACATCTGTGAAGGCCATTCGTTTAGATCATCTGGTAATAAAACACGGGATTACATAGGAAGAGTTATAATGAATAGATTCCGGAAATTTATCAACTTTGATAAGACCTCCGACAGCATTGACGGTGAAGTAATTTTGAAACCGCATCAACAGACAAAAGTAATGCAAACCTTTGTCAACCTCATTCAGCAGCTTTATCAAAGTACCGCATGTTATGTGATCGACAAAGGAAAACTTAGCGAAATCTTTTAAGTCAAAACAGGAGTAAGATGAGGCTAACCACCAGTGTCACCAACGATATTTCTAATTGTGGTAGACCAGATTATGCGTCAGACTGTTGGAAGTGTGAAGACAGGGATACGTTGGACCGAGAAGAAAACTAGAATATTTGGACTTCGTGGGTCGCACATACTTGAAGACCTACAAGTGAAAACCAACAAACTGGTGGAAGAAGCAACAAAGGGAGGACACTGAGTGGACATAAGGGAGACAGAAATGACGAAGATAACCAACCAAGAGCGACAACAACTAGCACCAATCACCATCGACGGGAGAAATTTGAAAGAGGTTACTTCCTTTTCTTACTTAGGAAGCCTCGTCTCAACTACAGACATTCGCTACGGTAAGAACTTTTAACAACAGCAGGAATCATTAGCTGGACACTGACGATCAAATGGCCAGAAAGAACTAGCGGCAAGGAACTCTTCGAAACAGACTAATCAAGAACCTTACGCTCAGTATATATGAAGGAGAAGACGGGGATGGATCGGACACACGTTAGGGAGACCATTGGGAGACATCACGCACAATGCGTACCATCGAGTGCAACACGAGTGGGACAAGATGAGCTAGGTGTTCGAGGATGATGTGGAAGAGCTGGTGTAACGAAAAGATGAAAGGTTATGAGTAATTGTGGAGGTAATTAGAATGGATTAAAGAGAACAGGCTGAAATGAAGATGTTATGCTAAAGCCCCATGTTCCATTCGGAAACCAAGGGAATAATAATAATTATAGTTTTAATTAGTCTAAAAACACTAATTATTTCATATACAAACTGTTTACTGATTGGTTGGGAATTAGAAGAAAATGGCCCCAGTATTTTTCATTCTATGGACTGTAAAGGTTTTTAAAACAGTAGCCTAGTGATTTAGTTTCCGGCTAAAAGAAGGAAAAAAATGAATATCTTCCAAATGGCAACTGATGAATAGAATAGTTACAATAGACTACATATGATATGACCTTCACAATCTGCTCTTATTATTATTCCCTTGGATGTTGAGTGGAACATTGGGCTTCAGTAGAAAGCCTCACCATGTTTTCTGCAGTTCTCTTTGGTTGGCTGATTCTTATTTATAACTAGCAAGTCATACTGATAATACTTTTCAATACTTAAAATATAGTAAAATAATTTCTTTACTTTTCCTTCTTATTTCAGACATTTTATCCAGTGGAGAACAAATCGCTTGAAATACATAATGGTGATAACATTGTATGTATAATTTTGCATAACGTCATAATTCTTCTTCAAACATTTATACATATTTTAGGCAGCAATGTGCATCATGGAAAATAATGAAGATAAAGTAATCCCAATGGGGTAAGCGTAAAGTTAATGCATAAATTCTTAGCAAAATATTATTCAAAAAGAGCGAATGGAAACAAATCTTTTCTCAAATGGATATATATATATATATGCTTTATTTCACTTTCTCTTGAAATCTTAATCAGCACTTTAGATAGGTAGGTAGGCAGGTAGTTATAGGAAATCTGTTATTATTGCTTCTCTTAGATTTCGTTAGTATACATTGATCGATTTATAGAGGAACTAAGTAGCTGAGCCTCTGATGGCTTTACCATCTATCAAATCTCATTATTTGATTCTACCTAGCTGTGGTAACTTAACTGGATGTTACCTTTTTATGTGGTCTACCGAAAGACTTTTTATAAATTGATTAGCTCTAGAACATAAACAGCTATCGGTCAGTCTCTAGCATTTGGTATTCAGTCTTTTGTTCCCGTTTCATTTCTTGACTTATTCCTACCTCGAAAACTAACGAGCCATAATGTTGTCTCGATTTAAGTTTTACAATTGTTCATAGTTTGTTTGGTCGTTTTTTCATGATGCATCTGTCGTCCATTAATCTCTTCTAGTTTATGTGATGTTGAGTCCTGTATGTGTGTTACCTGTCATTTATAATCTTCCACAAATTACTTTTTATATCCTGAATTCACTTTCTGAAATAATAATAATTTCTCAGTCAAATTCTTGTCCATCATTGTCTGCATACAGGGCAATAGATGAGTTCAAATCATGATGTTATTGCTGTCGTCTGATACTTCTGGATAGTTTATGATTATATGTAAGTCGAAAATAATGTTTAACACACAAAATACAATCATTATTAGGGAAAAAGGCACCTTGCAATGATTTCATGGTGTGGAAATAACATCAGCCGTTTGGCATTTGAGAGAAAAGAACAACAAGCTCAGCAGAGATACTTTTTTGATGAAATCATCCCCCAAAAGCTATACAGTAGCATTTTTACACATGAATCCACGTAGTCACAATTATTGTTTAATTCAACACAGTTGTGAAGAGACGTCAAAGAACATAGTAATTCTCAACTTGATGTGAAGGCGTGAGGGCTTTAATGTGAATAACAGCGGGTGAAAAACAGAATTATATAAGATTAAAAGGTATTTGTGCAGTGTGTAAAATAGTTTCTAGAGAAAAGTGTAAACGGCGTGGGAGAAGCAGCAAATTGAAATAATAGTATGCATAATCCACGATGAGGAAATGAAGCCAATGGAAAAAGGATAACTAAGAAGATGAACAGAACTAGATCTATACAATTGGTGGATGGTGGCTAGCAGTGGAATCCAGGATGCGCATTTCGTCCTATTTGGGACTAGTCAGCCAACTGGATGTACCTGCATTTCTCAGTGAGTGATGATGTTCCCACCGAGGCTCGAACACATTACCCATAGTTTCCAACGCCAAAGCGTTATCCACTAGACCACTTGGGCCACGAGAGCCACCTCTTGTGCAACGGGTCATATTAATTATTGAATGGAAGCATCTGCACAGGAAGCCGACATGTCAACCTAAGACCGAGCACTTCGGTCCAATCAATCGACGGGAAAATCAAAAATTCAATTCAATAAAGAACTAGATCTATGACGAATATAGAGGCTGGATTAGTTTCTTTTGAACATATCTCCGGCTCCTGAATGCATATAGCGAAGGCTTCTGCATTGTAAAGAAAACAGAAACCTACTGCGATTAGTAGATGTTTGTCCACTTTGTAACTCATTTCCAATAATAAGACAGTCAAAATGGTGTGGCATATGCTGAAAACATTTTCACTTATAACACTTCTTCATACATAAAGCGCTTCTTTTGGAATTGGTGCGGCCTCACTGGGTAGTGTTCTCCATGTTGTCCATTGTTTATCCAGTTCTTCTTGAAGTTTCAACTTCCTTTCACGTTTCTTTTCTGTGATATTTTTATTATTCCATCTCTGAGAATATTACTCTAGTCAATGTCTTTATCTACTTACAAGTATCACACACACACCGAGCGATTATATGGTAAATACTTGTTTGAAGCAATGCCACCTTTATCCGTTGGATATTAGGACCTTTCAATAAAAAGAATGGCAACCTGCTAAAGTCACTAGGCTATCTAAGCTTTCTATTTATCTAAATGAATCGTTTTTGCTTCATTTCAAGTTGTTTTAATCTTCTGATTAACACAATGCATCTCAATCTATATTGGCGCACAATTTCAAGTAAAATACTATCTTGTGCTAGTAGATTTTGAAAGATATGGAGGAAAAACATTGTGGAGTAGCATTATAGCAAGAATATTTTGCTTGGAACAAGACTGTTTCAGATGATACATCACAGATTATTATATTATCTGAAGATTTGGCATAAGTTGTAAACACCTCGCAATAGAACTCGCTGAGAATTCTATATTGTGTATAAACGTATTTTTCAGTATAAAGCTACCATTATTAATATTATTATTATAATTAAATAAGACCAAATATACCAACATTATTTTATGGAAACTGAAGAACATATACTTAACTCTTTACCTTACTGCATCCTTCAACCCATTACGTTGAACAAATATCAGTATTAAGCAACAATTTCTGATTGAAAAAGTATAGCAAATGAAATGCAGTTCATGAATATAATGCCAGTGATAATATGTGTGTATCAGAAAAGAATTTTCAATGTAGATTTTCATTTAAAAAGCCCACAAAAATACAACTTGTCAATAAACCACCATAGCAACAGGATACGACTGTGTATCTGACTGAGATATGTAATAAAGCCACTTGCATACAACGCAATACAAGTTTTCTAAGATATTTATCAACAGATTAGTTAAAATATATAACCCCCTTTATTTGTTTTTCCTCTATGTCAATTTATGCATATTACTGAACAATTTTAAAAACAGAAGTACACGTCAGGATGAAATGTGCAATTTCTACATGATGTATTGGGTTGATAAAGACAATGAGGATCAGCTGTATGATGTAAAAAATCAGGTTTGCTATGTAGGTGACGAGTCGGATATTGAGAATGAAATTAAAAATATGTGTAAGTTAAATTTAATTTATTAATAAACTTTACTAACATGTTTATAAACGACATCAAAGGAAATTATTTTTAACTTTTTTTATTTGCTAAAGATGACAGGACAACCAAAATGTACTTGTGATCTCCTTTTTAGTGTTTCTTATTACAAGTTACCAATAAATCTTTTCTTTTCACCACCGTCTTCTATCAATCACTATAGTATTCAATTGACTAGTTATCTAATGTTATTCAAATGGGTACAAAGGCAGTTTACCTTCTCATAACTCATTTAGTTATGAGTACTTCTCAGGAGAATGTTTTCCAGATACTTTACTTTTCTGTTTTTCTGTTCAGCCTTTTCTTCTGATTGACTTTGCTGTGCATTGGTAATTTTAACTGACTTACCTTGGAATAGCACGTAATCATATCAAATCTGAAATTCTTGATACTTGAATATCTGTGTTGACGTCAAGTGAATATATCTTGAAGTGTATAGAAGTCTTCACATCGTTGATCGCCTGAGTGATAAAACCTCAAAAGTGCTACTTTTTGAAGTAATCATAGGCGGTTTTCATCAGAATGCATAGGACTGATGACAGTGATACTAGATGAATGCCCACAAGCAGCAATGAAAGATGATTGTTAGCTTTTTTTTCTCTTTACTCTGTGTAAAGCAGTATAATCATGGTATTATTAGATTATTTTGAATAACTCAGGAATTATTCATCTATAAGTTCGTGATTTATTCATCAGACCATTAATTTGTATCATGACCTTTATCTCAAAATCAGCGAACATTCATCACTTAGTTTAATATTCATGCTATTAACGACGCCTTTAGATAGCACATCTTGGATTTTCAACAAACACTTTATTTCCCATCGAAAGAGAAATGTTACTGTCACATACTCGATCCCAGACAGCGACAAGTCAAACACTGTCCATTTGAAAAGTCATATGATAAAAAAAATAATTGCTATTTTATACATGCCAAGATAGCATCCAAAAAATTCTGAGTTTTAGCTTAAAATTTCAAATTATGTTTCCAAAGATGTCATTAACTTCGTAATTTTTTGATAACAGTTACCCAATACAGGAACAGTTATACGGGTTGAAACTAAAATCAAATTAAATAAGTAAACTGAGTGATTTATTAGGACTGAGTAGAGCTCAGCTAAGCGTCGGTGGCGTAACGGTTAGGACACTCGCCGACCGTGCACATGGTCCGGGGTTCGATCCCCGGCCGACGACTCACTCCTTTACCTCGCTAAGCCAGAAATAATGCTGGCAAAGAGGAAAGGTTGGGTATGATGCTAGCAACCCCATCCTGTAAAATAAACACTGCTACAGAAACTTCAAGCCACTATCTTGAAGCCTTATGTTCCACTGGGAACGTGAAGGAAAAATAAAAATTATTATTTAGAGCTCAGCTAAAAGTGAAAACGAGTGAAGTTCATATCAGTGCCGTGGGGAGTAGAAATGTAGTAGTGGAAAAGCAGAAATATTTATAAAACTTCAAAATGTTAAATAATGAGGATTAGGAAGATTATGTATCCAGTGCTAAGGTAAATTAAGTCCGTTTTAGACTCAGTGACTGAATCAGTTTCTATATGCAAAGTCCAGGACTTGACGTATGGACTACCTTAAGTTTGGTTGTTTGAAGAAGTTTGATGTGTACTCTTTTGACAAGATTTACGTGTACTCTGAATATGACTATGACTTTGGTTCGCGAGTTCTCTCGGTAATTTTCACTTTCCTTCATATCTTTTAAAAAGATATTCGAATTGCACTTGTGATATAGGATGTAGTACTGGAAAGTTATTGATTAATTCCAGAAGAAACTAAATTTAACTGACATGTTTATTCATTACTTTACCATTATAATTATTTCAGAACAAATTACCATAAGAGGTGTTAGTTGATAGTATATAAGTAAATTAATTTGAAGTCTGTATAGTAGTCAGAGTGTACTGGAGAACTTTAAAGTATCCCTTGAAATCATTACTTCTCAATTTCCGGTTGGTTGATTATATTTAACTGAAATGCCAAGTCTCTGCTGATATATTTTTAATTCCTCTACGTTCCCAGTGGAACATAGGGCTTCAGGCTACAGTTCTGAATTTTCGGTAGCAGTGGTATTCATTTTCACAGTATGGGGTTGATGGCTTCATACCCAACCTTCCCCCTGTACCAGTTTTATTACTGGCTTAGCTAGGTAAAGGAGTGCGTCAGCCGGAATTAGAACCTCGAACCACCTGCGTGGTTGGCGAGCATTTTACCATTGTGCAACCGACGTACCTCTACTAATATATCGGCTCCAAACAGTGAAAAATTACGAAACACTAAAGCATCTGATAAGGCAGTTCTGAAATGAGGTGAAATCTTTCGTTCTGACCAGAAGATGTCAAAAGAAAGCCAGCGGGAAGCCGTTGAACTAAAGTTGGTGCTAATCACACAGCTTCTAAAGCTTCATTTATAACTGCAACTAACGTTATTGTACACCAGTGGTGAAATAAATCACCATTTCAAGGTAGATGATGACATCTATCAGTGATAATTACACTAATTTAAAATATGCAAACCGAAAATTTGAAAATTCTTTTTTAATAATCATCCAATGAATTCAGTTATTATTTGTTTAGGTGGAATCATAGATGCTGAAAATTTGACCTTATTTCGTTTTACGGACTTATTATAAGTATATAGAGAAAAAGTGCACCTTAAGAAGTTTTTTCTACCTTTATTTCTAACTTCCCGCTCTTTATATTTATACTTTTTGTTTTACTTTGGTGCTGTTGAGTCGAAGGTGTTGTCTAAGAAGACGATGAAATCACCTCAGTGAAATAATTCAGCCCAGAGAAAGGGGAATCACACTAAAATCTCTCTCTTCAACTGTAAATCTTCTCTATTATTTCAACTTATCACTTTTACTAAACTAGTAAATTTGGTATTTATTATTATTCCCTTGAGGTCCGAGTGGAACACTGGCTTTCACTAACACATCCTCATTTCATACTGTTCAAGTCAGTAATTCTAAGCTCGCTCCACGATTGTACATAAGCTTTCCTGTCCTCCTAACACAATCTCTTCCATGTCACCCTCTCGCCCATGCTCGTCTCGCTGTTTCTCATTCGGGTTCCACAGAAGAGTCTGCATTCCGAATGATGTAGCTCAGGGATCTCATCTGCATGTGTCCAATCCATCCTGATTAGCCGCGTACGTTGACAAAGTTTCTCGCTGTTAATCCTTTCTGGCCAGCCATCTTATCTTCACTATGGAGTGATGAGGACAGCAGTTGATGAAACTCTTCAGTAGCCTATTGGAAATGTTTTCAGCGAGGCGCTGAGTCTCTAAACCATATAAAAACACTGACTTCACATGAGTGTTTACTAATCGATGCTAATTCTGGGAAATCAACATAATCGTTCCAGAAATTTCAAAGTAGAAAGAAGATATCTGAAATAAACCTAACCAAATCTTTAAGTACTGAAATTATCTATTTATACTCGTGTAATGAAAGTACACTATAAATATTTATTAAATTTACTGAATAACTGACAAAAGAAGAAGAATATGTGTACAATGCATTGCAGTATCTGAAGTTTGAAGTACTTTCCACATAATTTAACATGTGTTCAGACAACAAGTAGATGAGCATAGTTTACAGGCCAGCATACAGTCAGTGATTTCTTCTTGACAGGTATACTACTTGTAAACACATTTAAACGATGTATTAATAATGTAGGTTGTCTACTTAACTTCATCAGTTCCACGCTTTTTCTGCCATTTAATGTTTACACTTTTCTAAATGTATTAAATCTCCGAAATTTATCACTTTCAGTTTTTGATATATGGTCCATCAATGTTTTGTTGCAACCTGTCCTAAATGATATTTTGTCAATATTTTCGAGTTCACAGTCATCAGTCAGAAGTAATTTAGAAACGACTATTTGTGTCTACCGTCAGTGTTAGAAAGGAATTTTCCAATGTATCATTGAGTTATATCCTATCTTCGTTTACTTCTCTAGTATTATTCACAAACACAAGCATATTATGCTTCATGGTAAACATTTACTTTATTCCAGTATACTGAGTTAAACAAATAAAAAATAAAATATCAGATTCCAGCACTACTTAGGGCTGTATTGGAAAGTTTAAAAGATTTCTTTTCTTCAGTATTTAACTAGACTCTTTCAATGTTTCTACTGTTATCAGTATTTAAATCATTTCACATACGTCGTATTATTTGGAAAATGATTACTGGTCGAGTGTATTAATCATAACCTCTAGAAGAAACTTGTCTTTAATAAATGTGATTGTTTTTAATCAATAAAACAACATGAAGTACTTTTAGGCATCTTCTTTGTAAACAATAATAAAATGGCACAATTTAAAAAGTACTAACCCCTTCATGTAACTTATTCTCATCTTTTTTTATTAGATGAATTCTCAATTTCACGACCCCCTTGGACAGATTTCGATTTTCAAGCTGAAGTAGACGGTGAACCTTTATTTGGATTTGACTGATCTGATCAATTGTCAACCATTTATAGCATAAGATATGCAAAAAGAGTAATTCAGAGTTTTAAAAGTTTAAAAAAGTTACTATTAATTTCTGTGATGTGTCCATTTGTCTTTGTCTTTGCATTGATCACCTTTTTGTATTGTACTCTTTTGTGAACATTTGTCTGTGTTGAAACTTTATTTGTCTCATTTTGTTTTTGGGGCATTGTTTAACTTCACTCTGATTGGTTCTTCTTTTTGGAATTCCTTTTTATTTATTAATATTCTATCATTTACGAGATTTGAGTTTGTTTGTTTTTGTTTGGTTTGGTTTCTAGTAACAGTATTACTTAAGTACATTACACTCATCAAACTGTTTTCTATTGCACAAAAATATTTAAAACAAAATTATCTAATCTTTTGATTTAATGCTTTGTGAGGGTTAAGATGAAAACTGAGTTTAATGATACGAGTATACCATGAGTAGAGCCTAAGTGATGACCAGGAGATAATTACTGTCATAATTAAAATCTGACGGTAGACAGGAGGTTACTTTCTGAGATAAATGACTATTTCAGAAGAAGAAGTTGTCATGTCTCATAACTGTTTACCTACAGATGTAAACGGGAAGTGTAACCGTAACAGCATCGAAAAGTATACTTTTTACTTTTTCCTTCATGTTCCCAGTGGAACATAGGGCTTCAAGATAGTGGCTTGAAGTTTCTGTAGCAGTGTTTAGTTTTACAGGATGAGGTTGCTAGCCTCATACCAAACCTTTCCTCTTCGCCAGCATTATTTCTGGATAAGTGAGGTAAAGGAGTGAGTCGTCGGCCGGGGATCGAACCCTGGACCATGTGCATGGTCGGCGAGCGTCCTACCCGCTGTGCCACCGACGCACATCGAAAAATATATATATTCACTTGAATTCAATACTTATCATTATCGTATTAGTATGCGATCGTGAATATTTTGCCAATTGCATGTCGCGTAAAACTTGATTTGTAGGGTATTCTATCTTTTCATTAACAATATCAGATCACGCATAAATGCGTGAAAGAAAGGAAATCAAAAAACATAATTATGCCAATTATGCTGATGAGAGTACGAATAAAGGCAGATGTGAACTAATTATGAGATTTGATATAAGAATAGAGCCGGAGTACTGTAGTAGAGTATAATTCCAGTAAATATTACTGTATAACACTATGAAATTTCCGGAAAATAAAATCTCCATATAAACGTGAAATTAGCAAGAGAAATAGGACACGAAACTATGACATAAGATTTAGAAGGAATTTCTATATCTTGATCAAAATGATCATTTGAAGTCCTGTCGTACAAATTCGTAAACTACTGATCTAGGCCTGTATTTCAGACTCTAATTAAGCAATTCATATTTTCTTCACAATTCCAGCTGAAAGACATCACACTTATGTGTACCTAAAACATGTTTCAGTTCATGTACTGTTGGCGCATTTCATATTTTTCTTCATCTGAACTAAAATAGTGCATGCCAATGAAAGATGGCTGTCAAATACAGGACATACTGTTTTCACAAAATGTATGAAAGACTTTAAACGAATCAGAGGATTTATTTATTTCACTTAATACTTTACTCATAACTCCCGCATAGCTTGGAATCTAAATCATACTTGACTCATGTTATGCACAAAAGAGTAATGAAATACCTTAAATCTTGTCAAACTATTTATTTTCAAGCAATTTTCTTTGCACCTCTAATAGGGTTTATACGTAACGTTCCTGATTTTCAAATGAAAATGGAGTGTTAGGTCATTTCATGAAATAAAATTTTCCGGCAGTCACCAGTGCATCCACTTTTATTTCTGCTCAAATATTTTTACCTACCAACTCAGTTATATTTGCTTTTGTAGTACATTTACTAGAATAGTAAGGACACAGATACGATTAACATAGCTTCTGCGCTAGGAAAATACGCAAAACCGTGAATTGTACTTTATTTCTGTCCCCGTAAAAAACTTTGTATGACCTAGGGCAGGTAGACTTCCGTCTTCCTCTCGAAACACTCTCATGTAGCCATACGTTCACTGCCTCAGCCAGGTAAGTCCTATCTACTATCTTCATGGGGTAGGTGAATGCGAACGTCTGACGTTTGCAACAGGACTGGTGGACATGTATACAAAACGGTGACTTTAAACTATAGCAGCCCAAAACGAAACTACTCAATAAAAACCTTGACAAATCTCCGTCGACTAATAGAATACGCCTGAAGTATAGGTACATAATATAAAGAAACGTTTATATTCAAGCAAAGCAATGTTAAAATGTAGTTATATAGGATAATATTCTTGTATATGTTCCAAGAAAACATCACAGTTTCTCATAGGAGTCCAATTTCTTCATATAAATTCGTCCAGATAACTATACACCATTGTATTTCTTGACCGATTCACAGCTGTGACCCAATTTTTAGGTGACTCCATAAACTTTTGATGAAGTTATTGTTTGTTCCATCGAAAGTATTAATGAAATCGTACCTATTATTGACCGCGTTGAGAACATAGCCCAGGGATGACAGTTCGCTACACCTTCCAATGAGCCTATTGTCTAAGCTGTACTTTAATGATAAATTTGGATAAAATCTGCTAAGTAACCTGTGTACAGAATTCATAATTCCCTCTGTATACCACAGACTTATCTGACTGGCTTCTCAAAGGCATTAATCCGTTCATTTCATAGTTTCGTTTTGCACTGTTGCAGTTTAGAGTCACCACAATAACAGCCAATCACAATCAGGGTCATTACAAGAGATGACTTATAATCCGGTGAGGAATTTCATAAAACTATTTCAAATTGAATTATGGCGCTGAGAATGCTGTTTATTATGAAAACGAAAACTTCTCAACTGAACCATACAACTAGGAGAACAATACTTTGCTAAAATCGTCCACCCGAACCACAGATTTTCTCCATTATTTGCATATTTAATCACACACAGGTCGCTGAGTGCGAGGGGATTTTAAAGTACGATTAAAAATTCCAATTCATCTGACGTTTAATTCAACGCGTGCAAAAAATTATAACCTTTCTGTTTCAATAGGTTTTGCATTATCTTGAGAATATTAAATCGCATGAATTCAAAACTATCAGAAGGTTCTTTGATACTGTTTTGTAGGGACACTATAGATATATGACAAAAACATTGAAATGCTATGATGTGCTAAGTTTAGGTAACTGTAATTCATTGACAAAATGTACGCATAACTTCCAAAGTATTAAAACTCTAAATCATGAATACCTTATGCAATTTGGTTGATTCCAAGTCAAAGCAGTGTACGAGTCCCAACTGTGACATGAAGTTTTAAAAACGTTATTCAGCTAATCAATACTAATCACCATCTACGATATAAATTTGAATTGGGTCCCTTCTTTCATCTACCTAGGCAGCTTCTTTTCAAACATATATGGCTCAATTGTAATTTTTCTAGTACACAGAATATGGCCTTTTTCTTCTTTGTCGTTGTAACACACTGTCACCATAAATAGATATGAAAAGATTACAGACTTTAGTTGACACTCACCGTCTTTCAGCTTGATGCATCGATACGGTAGATGACAGTCAAGTTTGAAGTAAAATAATAAATATGGCAGTGGAGATTCATTTACAGGCGATACAGATGAGGATATTGAGGACAAAACCGGAGAAGCAAGATAGACCTTCATTAGTCTAGAATCAGTGTGAAAATTTACTATGATCAGCATAAAGAACAAGACTCAGACTTTTTCTTTGATTACAGCTTGATTCTACACTGTATTTTTGGTACAAGTGTGGAATTTTCAGCATGTGATATCGGTAGCCCGAACTGCACTGGCCGACCACTGATATCAGGCGTGCGTCGGCAGGGGATCGAACCCCGGAGCGCATGGTCGGTGAGAGCCCCAACCACTGTGCCACAGACACACAACACTAATGTCAAGTCAGTGCGACTACGTAATTCAGAGATTCAGTGCGTCACCGAAAGTATCTCCAACATGCTGCAGACTTTTAACATTAGCTGCCGTCACTAGCTGAATGCTAAAGATCAGATGGCCAGAAAAGATTATTAACAAAGAACTCTGCCAACAGACTAACCAGGGACCAGTTGCCCAACAAACATGCAGAAGGAAATGGAGGTCGATCGAACACATGCTGAGAAGACCACTGAATGATATCACGCGCAATGCAGATCCCTGAGCAGAACCATAATACAAAACGGTGAGTTGGGTTTGTGAGGCTGACAAAGAGGAGATTGTGTGAAGGGGAGAATGTCTGCTGATGAAAAGGACTTCAGAGAACAGGATGAAATCAAGGTGTAGTACTGAAGCACTATCTTCCACTGAGAACCTAAGGGAATGATAATAATAAAAATAATGTGTATGTAAATCTGAATAGTGTTATCATAAAATCACAAAAGTACCATAAATAAGAATAGCGATTTTTCACAAAGCAGGAATCTAAGCAGTAAAATACAAAATTAATTCAAGAAAAGTAGATAAATTTCAGATATACAGAGTTATAAATAAGGATATGAATTTCGTCTTATGAATGAATTTAATGTAAAATACAAAATCACAAACATACGAATCTCGTTGTTAACATGATATTCTATGCCTCCGAAAAATACGCACTTGATTTTATTTAGCACATATATATATGCCAATGTGTAGGTAGGTGTATCACTAATCATTTCATTCATTCTTCTCAAATTCAATTTCTATCGACTTGTTGTTACACTAAGACAATTAATTTACGTAACTGACTTAGCTCCATGTGTAAAGTTTCTTCAGATATACGTAATTTATTTTCTAACACAGATTTTGCGCTAGTCACTGTTTCATGTATTGTGTGAAAGCCTTCACGCATTTCTTCTCGTACAGCTTCAATACTTTGGCGATTATGATCATATAAATCGTCGGAAATCTTATTCATACGCATCTCTATTTCCTGTAAAGTAATAAAAAGTAGGTAGAGAAGAGAAAATCTATTTAGACTGGTAGATAACTAAATAATAATGCTAAAAACAATTGCAAAGAGCAAAATGACAATCGATAAACTATGGGGGATAGCAACTTACGTCAAGACCCACCGTCTCTCAAAAACAAAGGCGATGAAAAAGCAGTTGTCAGTCTTATATGAAAGTGACTCAATAACAAAACTGTCAGTGGATGAGATACTAGACCAATTATAATCGAGTGTCGTGATTAAATTTAATCTGACTTTGAAAAACGGCCTGCCTTAGTAATACGCTCTAAAACTGTTAGCGCTAAGCAAGGAGTGGATCAAATCATAATGCCTCATTTGCTCCTCCTGACGAACGACTTTCCCATCAACGAAGACTGAATTGAAAAACGTGTAGGGGAAATTATACCGAATTCTGAAA